ATTAATATCAATATAATTATGCGCCTGCAATAGCCACAACCAATAGGGTTTCTCTCAAAAACAATGATGAGTTATTGAAGTTCCATCCATCATATCATTCTTGAAAACGATTTAAATCTAATCCCATTGTTGATATTTCCGTTTTGGTTCAAAAAAATCCCATTAATGATTTTATAATGTAAAGATATCTGCAACTAGAGTATCAAAACAGAGCAACATTTCTTCCTGCAACATCCACCACTCTGTTTGCTCCATGAGTATTGTCCAACAAAAGCTTCACATCGCAGTGTTCCCATGGCTGGCGCACGGCCACATCCTCCCCTTTCTCGAAGTCTCCAAATTCTTAGTCCAAATGGGTCATCGAGTATCATACATCTCTACCCCCAAAAACATAAGCCGCCTCCCAAAATTCCCTTTGGAATTATCACCTAATTTGAGTTTTGTAGTACTTCCCATGCCTCAAGTTGAGGGGCTGCCGCCAGGAGTCGAGTCTACCGCCGATATTCCGGTTCACAAATTGCCTTACCTCAAGAAGGCATATGACAATCTCGAAACCCCTTTGGCTGAATTCCTCAAAACCTTACGGATAGATTGGATTATCCATGATTTCGCGCCACACTGGTTACCGCGAATTGCTGCTCCGATGGGGATCAACTTGGCTTATTTCATCATTTACAGCGCTTCCACCACCGCTTTTTTCGGCCCTCCAGACGAGCTAATTGGAGGCCACCGGCAGCGCCCAGAGGACTTCACCGTCACCCCTGAATGGATTGATTATCCTTCGGATGTAGCTTTTAAGCTCCATGAAATAGTGAGTCTCGAGCAGGGTATGGACCAAGACGTCAGCGATTTTATCAGGTGGGGATCCGTCCTTCAAGGTTGCCAAGTTGTGACTCTAAGGAGTTGCCCTGAGTTTGAACCGGACCCACTTCGTTTGCTCCCTAGGCTTTTGCAGAAACCAGTCGTTCCGATTGGGCTGCTGCCGCCGTTATTGACGTCAGCACCACCCGACGAAGACGATGAAGACGACACGTGGAAATCATTGAGAAAGTGGCTTGATGGTAAAAACCCGAAGTCGGTTTTTTACATCGCACTCGGCACCGAGGTGGCTCTGAGTCCGTCGTTGGCCCACGAGTTGGCACTGGGGATAGAGAAATCGGGACTGCCCTTCGTCTGGATCATCAAGAATCGCCCGTTGGTAGAAGGGCAGATGGATCAAGACATCCTCCCGCCGGAGTTCGAGGAGCGGATCTCCGGTCGGGGCTTTGTGTTGAGGGGGTGGGCACCTCAGATGAGAATCCTGGCTCACCCCTCCATCGGAGGGTTCTTGACTCACTGTGGTTGGAGCTCGACGATTGAAGCACTGGGACTTGGACTGCCATTGATTCTGTTTTCCGGAGCCTATTCGGACCTCGGGTTGGTTGCGAGGTTGTTACATGGGAAGAGAGTCGGGATGGAAATAGAGAGGAATGAGGTGGACGGGTCGTTTACGAGTGAGGCGGTGGCGAAGGGGATTAGGGTGGTGATGGTGGAGGCGGATGGAGAGGCCATCAGGGCCAATGCTTCTGCTATGAGGGAGATCTGCGGCAATGTTGAATTGGGAAGAAAGTACCTGACCGAGTTCACTCGGTTCCTTGAGAACTACAAACCATTGACGCTGTAGATTTGCCCGTGTATGCAATGTTCCGACGAAGTCCTGATTCCTGAGTAGTAGTGCTTAATAAGATCTCATGTGACTCATTTCCTCACGTGTTTTACGAGTGGGATTATGTTTGAACAATGTCCTCATCCTCATGTGTTTTGCAGGTCGAAGAGAGCTCGTAAGATTTTGCCTCTAATGTGCTCCTTTACATTTTCCATTCACCCACGTCGGTATGTATGTCATGCCCTAAAATATGTATTTGAATTAATTTTTTTATTTTTATTTTTAGTTTTTTGGCATTTGAATTTAGTTAACCAAAAATATTACCTATTTAGACATAGTTCATCTGCCTTTTGAACCACTTAGTGAGTTTTAAATTGTTATGTTGTGTATAATGGAAGAGCAAAATTATGTCTTGAGACACATTTGCTATGTCATATTTGTAAACATCACATCCCTGTTTGTGCTTGGCAAGTTATTATTTTTGTACTACTGGTGCAGTCCTCAAGAATTGATATTTGCATTTATTGCTCACGTATGTATGAGCATTATATTTTCGATCCCTTTCTTTACCCATTAATTCATTATCTTTCCAAGTTTTTCAAAACCTAGTGACCCCCCTCTTTCCCAAGAAAGCTAGTGACCAACCCAATCAAGAAACTTGATTTCCAAATCCCTGGTGATTTCTCCTAAAACGCCATCCTCGGCTTCAACAGGATACTTTCCAGCTTCCCTACCTGGTAAACACAACCTTCTGAATAGGGGAAAAGGGAATTTACCAGCTTTATCAAGGATCGTTTTCAGCTTGGAAACATCCCTAATTGCTATAATTAAAAATCATGCATCATTTATACTGACAGACTAATGTGGCAGGTGTAAATATATCCTTAAGTGCTTTTATATAACATATAAATTATCATTAAAATTATATATTTTGATACATAGTCTTTAATAATAGTTTTATATGATATTTCCTTTGTTATAAAATAATTTTTTATTTT